CAAGATGAAACGTCTTTAGTATTTTCAAATTCTTTTTACTTTTTCCTCATTAAAATAAACTTTTCTGTTTAAAGCCTTTACCAGGTATGTGACGGAATTTGTAGTTTAATGCACAGTTGCGGTTTGTTGTTTTTACAGATTTTTATCTATAAAGATATTTCAACGAAAGAAAGAAAAGTGACATAGAATACAATGACATAAACAAGACAGCATAGAGTTTGGTCTATTCTTGATTTGTAAAGGAAGAGACGCACATAAAGATCATTCCCCTGCCTATAAGTCTCCTCCATCATCAAATTCTCCTTTGTCGTCCTTTTCCTTCTAAAATAATGTAGCTAGGGAAAGAGACTTAAATTCAGCTTCCAGCGCCCATAATCGTCAGACAAAACGCGGAACTGCTCCCACTTCACACCTGTCTTCTGTGTAGTCGTGGTATTGCACTGGGCGAGCCGGCCCTTCAGTGCAAAGATGTTAAAACGGGCTCTACCACTGTTAATCGTGATACTTGTAAAACATTACTGTCATCCCTTTTATTATCATTGAAAGACATAGATAATGAAATGTCTACGTACATGTTAGCAGTGAAAACTCAATGCCAGCATATAAATAGGAAACATTAAAATAATGTGAGTAATAAGTTAGGGTTATTTTACGACTTGTATATTTTTACATCCCTTCTAAGGCTTTGTGGGTTAGACAAGGGTAAGTACTTGACCTTTATGTTCCCACATTATGTACTCAGCTTTACAAGGGATTTAGTTTGACACGTCAATGTTTTGTAAAGGAAGGTGAGGATCAACTGGATTTATCTAAGTAAATATACATATTAAATTGATAATTTCGATTTAAAAACTTTTACATTGTTGAGATAATCGTACAAAATCGTACAAAATCGTCGTACTTATCATTAAAGTAAGGATTGCATATAGACATTCATAGATAGTAAATTATTTCAAACATAGAATAGTAGACAAATTAACTATTATGTCAAAATCAGTCGACTGCAGATGGACGTTATTAATTTGTGGTTCATATAATGATGTCGTTTGTGCGAATGAAGTGATACTCAGAACGCGTGATTTCTGACTAATACAGAACCAATATGCTGTTATGTTGAATCAATCACCAATAATATGTAATAGTAACCTTCTACGTATTCTTAGTATGCAAATTATTGGCCAATAGAAACAAAAAGTGAATGAACCGTCTGCAAAATGGACCTGATGACATGGTTAAGAATGCGGGAGTGGATTAGATGCGGCACCGGACCGGGCATCATGAGAATCGGGGAAGACCTATGCTTAGTTTTTTTTTTAATATTACAAGGTGGCAAACGAGCAAGTGGTCAACACCAAAGACATCCCCAATTGTAGATGCGTTGCCCAGCCTTAATCGACGAACGAGACACACATAAAGAATACAATTCAACATGTAAATAATACTTGCAAGTTACTTATATACAATTAGAAATATGAAATTAAAATGTGCGATACTATAATTATTTAAAGAAAATTGATTTGTCTTTGTGTTACTTGAACAGAAATATGTCAGCGGCACAACAGAACTATTCAGGTTAATAGGACATCGGATTTCTTTATATTTGTCTACTGAATTCGACTTTTAACCTAAAAACTAAACTAATTAAACGTATTCCTATTTAAAAAGTAAGGCGTGTGATAAACGCCAAAAACATCTGTCTTCAATTATTGAAAATTCTAAATAACTAAATTAAATTTCAATTCATAGTACTATCAGAAATAAAAGCCTTGTTACTTTTTATAGAAAATATCTTTAAAAACATTCAATAATACAAATAAGTAATAATTTCAAATTATTAACTATTACTAAGTATGACATCTCACTGCTCTGCGTGCACATAATCTCCTTGATAATACTGGTTGTCGTCGCAATTGTACAAAAACACAAAGAATGTTAGACTTTTCACACATACTTGGACATCTAGGGGAATAAAAGGTCTAAGACCGTTTTAACCATTTCCAGTCAAACAAATATATGTGACTGTTGCTGTTCGTCCACGTGATATTAAAAATATAGCCTATGTTACTCACAGATAACCTTTCTAACGGTGAAAGGATTTTTGAAATCGGCTTATTAGTTTTTGTGTTATATCAATACGTACAACGATTCCAAAATACAAATATTTACTCTTTACCCGTATAATCGGTCGTATAGATAAACCCCCTGCACTTGCTAAGACTTTAAACGACCGTAAGTGTGTAAGAATTTCAGTTGGAATTTCTGTATTCCTTGTAATGGCTTCGAGGAAATCAATTTATTGGCCTCGAAGTTCAAAGAGTAAACTGTAGCAAGTCAACTTAATTCGACATACTAAGGATGTAATCACACTTTAAAATAAAAGCCTCTTACTAAGGAAAGATGCAAAACTTATAGTTTGTTCTCCATTATTTTATTTGACATAACAATGGTAATCGAAAGATATCAATAAGATCTCTTGTTTAGGCGATCGTTTTAAAAGATCAAATAATAATTTCGAATGTAAATTAGATCTTTATTTATCGTATTACATATAAATAACACGTAATTACATATACTTAGAACAATAAAAAACAGTGACATTAGTATCGCGCGACTTAAGCTAACGTCGGCGTGTCGTAGACAGATTCGTAGCGCAACGAACCGTAGAACATTTGTACGTAGCACGTAGTGTCTACGACGAACTAAACTGTGACTGCGTCTTTATAAAGAGAAAGCTTAAATGAGTTAATCCTACAAGCGTAAGCCTCTAATTGTTCACAATATAAAGACGATTTTAAACAACAAGGAACGAACAGTTCGTTGTTAAATAAACACATCTTGAACTGATAACTTTGCTGACACAGAAATCTGATGTCAAAGTTTTCATTTATTAATTTCGTTGAAATGTAACTTTGCGACAAGTCAAATTGATATGCATTATTGCGTCGATGATTTTTCTGACAGAGGTTTTAACAAAAAAGGTGACATTATCGTATGTTCGATTCTCCACACACTACACAATTAAATGTAAATCGACATATTAGTTCTACATTATGCTTGCCTGTATACAGTATAAATTGACATCGCGATATGTAAGCGGGAATATATATTATCCAGTATATTTGGAAATAACTGTTAAATAAATATTCGCTTACGAGATTTACATCTGTCAAGCCAACAATACTTTTAAGTGCTTTCGTACAGGTGATGTGTCTAAAAATATACGTATTCCAAACACGAATAAGGGTTAACGCGCAGTGATCCACACTTTGTCTAAACAGCACCGACTCGCCTCGCGATTGCCGCGGCGTTGACTCGGCGCCGACTCTTTGTCACCGATTGTGCTGGCTAATTGCGATAAAATAACATTGCGATACGACATGTTCAATTGCACGGGTGGAATATGACGTAACGTTTAACGTAACGATAACAAAATATCTTATAAATCAGTGGGCGGCAAGTGAACGCCGCAGCGATCGTGAGGCGGGGCGGTACTGGGTGGGTGAGGAGTAGACGAATATGCGTTAATCCTTAATATAATCAAGTCACTGACATCAATGCATAGACAGGCTATAAGCCGTTGCTGTTTCTACTAATTTGGTTTTCGCCTCGCCACTGACAGACGAGGTTTATGGCGCTGGTCAGGATTCGAACTAATAATAGAGATAGAATAAATTACAGTAACAATGACGGACGCGTTTAAATCGGAATGAAATAAAGATAGACATTTCCAATCAACAACCTATCCATATAATAGAGATCAGTGACTGAGTACACTCGAGTGAATTTGAAATGTAATATTTTTTCTTGAACAATTAAAAAGTAATTTCGAAATAAATACATCAAGTTACGTCTGCAGCCGACGTAAGAGGCGATTAAAGTAATAAATGTCTGAGAAGGCTTCCTGGCAGTGTACATTTAGGCTCCTTGCAGACAGACATCCTTTGGTGGGAACATTTATAACAAACAGAAAACGATGTGTGGTCTTTGTGTTGCGTACCCTTTCCTAGAGTTATTTCTTTTTACTATACGTACTATACCAGCTTTTTCCGCGATAACTAGCGTGGAATTAAAAAAAAACACACACACAAGTAAATAGCCTATGTATTCCTGCAGTCTATCTTATGCTTTTCATTGAGATCCGTTTTGTTGTTTAGACGGCAGACTAACAATCCTCCCTCCATCTAAACTTTGGCATCTGTAATATAAGTAAGAAGTATTACTTTTGGTGTAATAATTTATTTATTATAGCAGTTGATTACGGGAGTGTACGCAGGAGGTTGGGTCAAGCAACACGTAATAAAAAGCCGGCGCAGCGGCGGCAAACACCAGTCTAGTCAGGATCGTCGGCGCGCCGGTCGCTCTCGACCTCCCGCGCTCTGCCGCGCCTACCAGCGCCCTCTCGCCGTAACTAATAACTAAAATATTTTAACTACATGATTAAATTTATAAAAACAGTGTGCACAAAATTAAAATCACAAAATCGTTTAAAACCTTATTTGTAAAATAAAAGAACGTAAATTTTCCCTTGCGGACTGTTGTATCTAATACGTTTGTTACTAATTTAGTATTGTTATTTAATTAAGTAATTTCACATTTAATCATTCTTTTAAACTGCATCTAAAACTACTTAGAAAAAAATGAAAACTTGTTTTTTTTTGACAATTTTATACAATTATCGATTACACCTTTTTTAATAGAAATTTGCGGACTTTTTAATACGTTCGGATTATTTCTAATATCTTGACAACTATAAAATACAAGTCATGAACAATCCTTTAGTGCGTCAAGATAGTATTTTTAATTGTAAAATTATCTTTGTGTCGAATTTTTAAAACCACTATTAGTACATAGTCTTCAATTGCAAAATTATGTATTAAATCCTTAAAGTTTAAATAGCATTGGATAAGTAGATGTTCGCAAGGGATTATGTACTTGTATCTTGAGATATATCACGTTGTTTGTAGATCCCAGCGGATTATCTACCATTTATATTAAATAAAGCGTTCAAATAAAATGGCGGGCGTGAGCAGATATAGTTCGTACAACTGCCTGACTGGATGGGACAGCTATGATAAAATACCTAGGTAAGTTTTATTTGGTGCATATTAGACAAGGAGACTTAAAACGGTAAGTACATCGGTAAGTGTAGGCGAAGGTAGAGATGAAATACGTAAGGTATGATTAAGAAGTCTGACTGAGATGAGGGAATTATCGCACTGGAAGACGAACTCCTGGTGTCACCTAAGAAAGAGTACTGTAAGAATAGAGTTGTTAATCTGAAGAAAGCAAAACTTATGGCTTTACATTAAGTGTAGGAATACAAATACAACACAATAAGCGTTGTAATGAGCTAACGCAATCTCCGATAGCATATGCACTTAGAAGACCGTTCAGTAAGAAACATGAATTAATATTACTATTCTGAATAAAAGCTTTAAAGTTAATCAGTTTGAGTAAAAGGAAAAAATATATTTCTTGTTATATATAAAAAATACAAACAAAATAAATGATCACCAACAAATACAACGTTTCACCGCTTTATATAAATTATACTTACACGTGCTATTGTTGAATATATATATATATAGTGCCGGAGGCCCAATTTTAGTCCCTTTCCCGTCCCACCTTTTTCTTTAAGAGAAAGATGGATGGGAAAGTGGATTTGACGGTGGAGGAGACGCATACGATGGGGAAAGATCCTTTTTATGTGCTTCTCCTCCTACGTCGACTTAGGGTAGGCAACGCATCTACAATTGCGGATGTCTATGGGCAGCGCTCGCTTTACCATTTTTGCGCATTTAGGTGGCCGTTTGCTCATTTGCCACCATTTTGTATAATATATATATATATATATATAATTAACTAGAAATTACACTAAATTTTAATTGTATCGTCGATAGATATGCTAAATCTGAGATACTCAAACTATTTAATCTTTAATTTTACTGGTTTCAGCGAACACCCTGCTGTTCATATAACCCCTCCGAGACATGTGGTCTTGCACGACTTTGAGAAACATTATTCTAGAGTAAAATAGCTATTGTTTAATAACAAATGAAGTTGCCACGTAATAAGTGGCAAAGGTTTAGTATTATTTGTGTTATAATTGTTTTCCCTCCACTTCGTACAATGGATACAATTAATTTTGCACAAACAAGATTGATAGTTTTCTCTTTGCTATGTTCTGAACGATTGTGGCGTTTGTTTTGCCCCGAGAGAAGTTACAGATACAATTTATTTATTGTTACGAGCGGCGAGGTTTATTATCGCTATAATTGCATACACTTTGATTACTTTAAAGTACTACGTCGAACTCTTACTGTAGTTATGATATTCTTACTTTTTGTTATTCTCTTTATTTTTATTTCAGCGCAAACTAAGTCGCGTGCAACAGTTAGTAAATAATAAAATACTTCGCCTAGGTCTTTAAAGTGTTCGTAAAACACTAATAGAGTTAGAATTTCGATGTAAACCATCGAATAAATAATTTTATGTTGAAAAAGGAAGTTTATTAACACTTATTTTTTATTTTAACCTCTATTTCGTTGATACGCATATACTTTTCGATACAATGTTTAATCAACTAAGTTAAATTAGATGTAAATATGCAAGGCACATGCTGCTCCGGCGAGTGTTAGAAAGCGGCCTTTACAATTGACGGCGGCCGGTCCCTGGGGTTCGCGGGGCGGCGACCACCACGCCGACTCACAATTAACTCTCCACGATTTAACCTTACAACATGCTGAATACGTCCAACTAGAATTAACTCGATAGAACTGAAACGAAGAATGTCTACATGCGTGACTTAACGCCTGTTTCACACGAGGGTAGAACAGTAGGCAGTGCACTGCTTGTCGAATAATATTATAATTTATGTAACAATCATTTAATACTTACATTTGCATTTGTACGTTACAATTGTAAATACTTATTACATACTAGATTTCGCTCGCGACTAAGTCCGCGTGTACATCAATGTCAAATTTCATGTCGATCCGTTTAGCCGTTCAGGCTATAAACTCTAACAAACATCCATCCATCCTTATAAAGTTTTGCATTTATAATATTTATATGATAAATAAGATTGTCTTCGTTTATATTTGTCTTTCAAACTGAGTTGATTAGTATTAAAACAATTGTTTAAAATGTGTTAAAATGCATAGGATTAAATAAACCTACCACAAATAAACCACTAGAATTAAAGATAATATGCATAAGTAGGTTAAACTCTGTCGGTGTTATTTAACTGACATACAGATCGGCTGACTTTATTGGCACCTCTCCAGATTCTAGTAGGCTTTTATCATCAAGAACAATTGAATACGTCTATTCAAAGCTTCATTAATGAAGATTCGCTGTGAAACTAAATGTTTAATGCTTTAGAAATCGAGTAATAATGTTGAGGGTATTTACATAATTATGGATAGATATACGAATGTGGAAAGATCCTATCAGACTACTCACTAAGTTAGGTTTAAAAGAAGTAAGTGGAAGGTATGTTTGAACTTTAAAAGTGTTGCTGAATGAAAATGACGTGGACCCTTCAACGTATTTAGGCCACAGTTGTCATGTGTCGAATTGAGTATTGGATTATTCCCGTAATAACGGACAGCGGCCGATGACTGTACAATTTGTTTTTAACCGTACATAAAATTGTCTTTCACCCCAATAGTAGTAATGAAAGCGTCGTCCCGAGGGTGTGAGACAAATTCCCGCGACCACGCGACCCGCTACGCCCGCACGCCCGCCAAGGCCAAACTCGCCCATCCCACTCTAGCCTCGTAAAACAAACGACACACTTACTTCACGTGCAAATAGAAAATTTTCAACTTTAATACAGATTTCTATTAATCAATTTGAATTATTCCGTTTTTTTTTACTTTTGTATAGCGTAAAATTCTGAAACTGGTTTCAATATATGGTTTTTTTTTTATTACAAGGTGGCAAAAGAGCAAACGGCCACCTGGAAACCCCGAAATGGCGAAGTTTATGCTCCTCATAGACATCCGCCCTACCCTAACGCATCTGCAACTGCAGACCTACCCTTTATCGAAGAAAGAGAAGACGCACATAAACAAGATATTTTCCATTCGTATGCGTCTCCTCTGCTATCAAATCCACTTTTCTTTCCCATCCCGCCCACCAGAAAAGAGTGGAAAGGAAAAGGGACTAAAATCAGGCTTCCGGCAACACACTCATCGGATGAAACGCGGAATTGCTCCCACTTCACGCCTGTCTTCTGTATGGTCGTGGTATTACACTGAGTGAGGCGACCCATTCGTGCGAAAATGTTAAAGCGGGCTTTTCCATTGTTAAATAAATTTCAATTTTTAAATTTTAAATTTCCGTTTCAATAGTTTTACTGATATGATAGTTATTACATGTTTACTAGTGGGTGATCTCAATTGGGAGTACCTCTGGAAGCAAGAACAAAATTTTGTAGTAACTTACGATATGATAAGCCTCAATTATTCTAACAGTACTAATTGCGAATTGAAACTTAAAATGCTAACCAACGCTTTTTAACTGTTCCCACAGCAATTTCTGCTTTACAATTCTTTCCGACATTCGTATACTTAACTAATGATCGCATTGTGTAAATACTACAAAAGCATAAAATGAAAATCAGAATTATTCTTCAGAGAAATAATAACTTCGAAATGCACTTGTGCACTTTCATATTGCGTTTCCTTGCTTGCTTTAATTTCTAATTATACTGTTGTATATTATCTTTTTAATCCGCAAAGCCTATAAAAGTCGAGGTTAATTCGAATGACAGATTTATCGTTTATGTACTCCGCAGGACATTTATGTGCATGATTTAGGACCAGGATTTTCGTGCAAATTACTCGACTGACCTTTGCTCCATAACTGTTATATGAAAATAAATCTATACAAAACTTCGGCTTTGTACTCAAGAGGGAACTATATCAATCTAGTTTTCTTTCTCAATTTCTTTGTTCGATCCAAGCAACATTTTCAAGTTCTATGGATAAGTTTTCAATTAAAACTTGAGGATTTTCGTGAATTAATTCTCTCAAATATAAAACTGTTCGTCGGACTGCTGAGAGTTCTCATTCAAAATCTGTTTCCCGGAATCGAGATTTAAATAAACTTTCAAATTGAAATTTGAACATGTATTTTATTTGATTGAGATATTCATAATTAATTAAATATTCCTATACCGGACCAACATTAAAGGACATCCTTAGTGCTCATTAAGTGACTGGGTATTAGCGTAAATGCTATAATGATAAGTTTGGTGCCTACATCTAACTTCACAGATTTAAATTTTAAATTCATCTACTTATACCGAACTAAATTTAAAATGCTTTTGTCATAGGCTTGTTTTTTCCGGCTCTTCTATGACAAGCTACCCATACGTATTTAGCTCAGCTGTAGTAAATTTAATAATTGATAGCTAGATTTAGTTACATTGAGTAATAGTCTGCAATGACAAAATTATTAGAATTTGCTAGTTCCATGTCAGATGTGTTAACGTCCTCAGTGTGTACGGTTGTTGTGCAATGTTTTTAAAAGTTTTACAACAACGAAGCAGCGCACAAGCTTCGACCGTCGCGTCGTAAAAGTAAGACTCAAAGCCGTAAATAAAGCTACTTTATCCGTTCCAAACGACTCCACCATTATTGTTACTTGATTGAAACCCACGCTATTAACTCTAATTGCTTCCTCGACAAAAAGATTGCTAATTAGATATAAAATTTTTATGAGAAAACTAGCTGTTTCCCGCCAATAATACCACTTAAATACAAACTGTATTATTTTCTCTGTAAATGGATGAAGTTATTGTTACCGCACTGTTGGTTACTGTCAGAGAACTCTATCTGATTGCGGAGAAAATGATAAAACTCTAAGTAGGTGGCGCCAGCATCAAGAGAACGCTTCTGTCATCTGTCAACTGTCATTAGTGTCAAAAATTGAATCGGATTAGGGTTATCGCACATTAATATACTCCTCGCCCAATCGACAGCGCCAACGGTCCGCCTCGACATTGCCGATTCACCGGGATAGTATTTAATATTTTTTGGGTACACTCCTCGCCATCAACCCGATTGACCCCGCGCCGTGCACAGATGCAGTGCAAGTGAAAATTACATTAAGCTAATTTTGTGTCTATATCCGCCTCAATTGGCGATGTCGTGACAGTGTCGAGTGTACACGGGGTGATACCGGATGTCCGAGGAGTGGAGTAATGTTCGTTAAACTTTATCTTCAAAAGGAAAATACATGTGAAGTTAATATAAGATACACAGTACTTTTGATAATCCTGACATCTTTAGGGAACAAGAGGCAATTTTTCTCCTTACCAATAGTTAGAAACCTGGCCACCGCTGCCAATGGCAACCATCAGCGCCAAAGTTGCAAAAATCAACGAGGCACAAAATAACACTTCCTACCTATAGCCTTTTTTAAAGCTATTTATAGACGTGAGTGTATACGAAAAAATTTTTTTTTATTCTCGAATTCTTTCAATCATTTAAATTTCGATCTTTGTTCGCCATTATAACTTCACTTTATTTCTAGTTACACTGGAAATTCTAAAGCGAAAATTCGCCATTTTGTGAACTTTATGAGATTTCAATCTATCTCAATAATGTCTTCCTCGTCTAATTCGAGTTAAACAAATCGGTCATCCGCTAACAAGGATGAATGTACCTAATTGTGTTCACTTGTTTACTTTGTTTCTTGGTCGACAGATGCCGTCTTATCTTTTGTTATCATTTATGGCCACCGTACTGTATTAGCGACACCGCGCGCTTATCACCTTTCTATTATAACAAAAACATTTTCCCGTGACGAATCTTCCACTTCTTTGATATAAGATGGCGCTGTGTAAATCCCTTATTATCTGATCATCTCGATATGGAAACCCATGTTCTCTCACATAGAGTCTAAATGTCGGTTGAGGGCGGTACATATCATTAGCTAAGTAAACAATAATTGTAAATTTTTTATAAAACGTATATGTCTATACGTATTTTTTGGAACGCCGTCTCCGTCTTTTGCGGAGTTACGGTGAATATTACTTGTGAGAGTGCCGAGTTTTGCTACTCGACAAACTGTCGGTCGCTACGTAAACAAAATGGACGCTCGGGCCGACTTCAGTTGTCATTTTATTTAGATGTTTATTTACAAAAGTTTGAATCTATTGAAAAATTGACGTTAAACTAAAGATATAGAGATCGAAGGTAAGAAGATTTTTCATCTGTTTATTAAGTAATACCGTTTATTATCGTGAGTACACGAATGTTTGCGTGACCTTTGACTTATTGAAGATAGGCGCGGGACATGTGAACAGAGCGAGGGCGGCTCCCGGAGGAACGGATCTATTTTCCATGTCAGAGAAGGATTATACAGTAGAGCCGGTAAATCCGTACATTCAGCTGCGATTCGACACAACACTACACTGACAACAAAAAGCTTACACGTGGAAAGAGTTACGAATGTAGGAGATAATATCACAGCATTGGATTATAAATACTTCTAAGTGTACATCCGTGAGTTTTATATTTGTGTAATCAAAGAGACATTTTTTGTATAATCATTTCGGCCGAAGACATTTTATACCAATTTGTATCATAAATTTGAATAAATTTATATGAGTTCAGTTGTTAAATGTATTACCAGTGCTGAGATAATTTGTGTTGTTAGTCGCAATTCAATTAATCGGCGTTTCTTCACGCTTGAATCTAAATCTAGTGCTTGATCTATGCTAGAATGTAGCAGAAACGAAGGCTTTCTAAGGTTAGTGTCTATTCCTGTTCATTGGTTCGATAAAAGAGATGCAGTGAAAGTGTTCATTTGATGTTTCACTTCTGATTTATATCAAAGAACAGATTACGTCTTCGTCTTGTACAATTTAAACAATTTCCTACAGTAATATTGGAGGTTAATTGTGAAGGTTCCATACTTTATATTTCACATTGATTAACGATAAGCCGAATTTAAGTGTCATGAACCGCGCCAGCTGTATACCTTAATTAAAATATTAAGCAAAGCTTGTTGCCATAATTAGTACACTAAATAACATTAAAAGCACTAAGTAATTCTGTTATGTGAACACATGGACAAATACTATTAATTAAGTTTTCTACGTCAAATATTTCACCGTAATGGAAATGAACGTCTCAAGTTTCAACATAGGAAGGCCAGCTGTAGTAGTCCAATGGTAGATTAAAAGATTTAATACAGATGATTAAATCGTGTTAACATCTTTGTGGATTATGTAGTTACTTAATGCAGTTTGTTTGATTGTTACAGAGTGCGAGTCGAGTATTATGTCAACGAGAATACATTCAAGGAGCGCTTGCAACTCTACTTCATAAAGAATCAACGATCGAGTAAGTACTGGATAAGGTTCACACGTCAAATTAGATATTAAAATATTAGTTCAACAAATAAACGATTAATGAACTATTCATAAACCACAACACACATCTTTTTCGATTCTATCTCGCCTATTTTTTTCATGCATTCTATCCGCAAATATTTGTCTTTTAATTGTTGAAATTATTCATATCTTATGATTTTGTTGAAATGGATAGTTTTTCCAAGGATTGAAAGAATTTGTACTTCAAAACTCCAATAGTCAACAAAGAGAGACTAGTTTATATTTCCCTATACCTCCGTCTGTAAAGAGAATGTCGCACAAAGTCACTTCAGTTCTTTGTTAATCAAATTGCTTTTCTTTCAAACGCAAACTGCTCGTGTCTCGCTCGCTTTCCAAACCAAGCTTTTGATCAATTTTAAGCTCGCTGCGACGAGGTTCAGTAAATCGAATTTACATTTTTTAAAGTGTCTTTGAAACGAAAAACTGGAAAGTAAATTTAAACATTTTGCATATCTGAAGTCTAGGTTTACGATAAAAAGCAGATGTGAAATATTTTCTAATATTAGTAAAGTACTAAATATTGTTATAAAACTTTAGCTACATTATGATGTCTTATTAGTAAATTGTGATCTTAGAACCATTTAAATAAGCGAATTATATTTAATAGCACAATTTTAATGTATGGATAATAAAACAAAGTGCATTATTTATTCCACACGTGTCTATACAAGGTCATACATAGTCCTTCGCCTCTATAAAGAAACGCATTTTGTAATTAAATAAAAACGAATTAAATTATTGAATTAATTCTATCAAGGTAATGTTTACAGAGAAATATTAACATATTTGTAATCTAGAAAATTGTGTCGTGCGCCCGAGTTTATAATTACTGAATACTGATTACCTACGAATTGTGTACTCCGCCCTTTTGTCATTTACACCGTTATTTATTTACGACCGAATTCATTCACTAATTGACTGGTTATATTTCCGAAATATGTAAAGGACACATCATTTATTGTGTTAACAATGCATCGGCCCCCGATTCCTTATAGACCGAACACTTGATAGCCGAAAAACACAAAGGTCATCTTGTGAATGACTTCATTCAGATTTACAATTAATCATGTTTCCCAGCCAGGGTAAATAACATAGCGCCGTATACGATTTTCCGGCGACATACTTTAATTATAACTATCGTTTGACTGGTAAATGCGGTCAGTAGCAGGAGGCAATTGTATAAAATGTCACCCACGCTTCAGTGACACACTAGCCTTAGCATTGACCAACCTAATTAATTTTCTTCATTACACTGAAAGCATTTATTGACCTTGAATGATTTATTATTGCCATGATAATAACAAGCTTTATTTAAAGCAATCGCTATACTTTAAGCAAGTTTTTATTAAATGACCAAACACGTGCAAAGGAAATCTATCAAAATATAGGAGTAGATCATACGAATGTATTCTATGTTGTTGTTTTATAATTAACAAATGTTATAGATTGTTTTGACGTGTTTTACCTTTGATCATTACAATAAAATATAGCTTTATATTGTTCTTATATCTCTTTCAGGCCTTCGCATAAGAATTGCGAATTTGGTGTTCAAATTGCTCGCATGCGTACTGTACATCATACGCGTTTGTGCTGATGGCGACCCGATCACCGCCTCCTGGTCAGTTCATATTTATTTATGTATTTTACTCCTTAGTCAGATTTGTGTCAGAATATGATGCGTAACTTCTGCGTCTCTTTAATGAGTTACAAATGGAAACGGTGACAGAGATATACATACAATCTCAGGCATCGATTTGACTCTAAGTTTTTGGTGACAAGACATTAGTCAACCATACTCGACCATTTCGGTTTGGTTGGTTTCTTGTACAAGTTCTAAAATTACTCGCAGATATGTGCGAATTGCGTCGCGATATTTTCGTTCGACTTAACAACGTTGGATAAACGTCCACTGTTCATAAGGAATTTTGCAGTTTTATTTAATTATAATTCCCCCTGTTTCTAGTTATGGCTGCAAGCCAGGCAATAAAACTGAATTCGAGTACTCAGCCAACCTGACCGAGGAGGAGTTCCAAGAGCACCCCATCATCAACTGGGACGGTATCATCTGGGTGAACCGCTCCCTGTGCCTCTGGATCGTCCAAGTCATCCTGGCCATGATATCCTTCTCTGAGGCTATTCTCCTCGTCTACTTGGGATACAAAGTGAGTTTTACACCACCTTCTATTTTAAGCATGTGAAGTCGTAATTCACTATTGATGTAACCAACAATAAAAACTTTTTTTTTTATTAAAGGGCAACATCTGGCAACAAATCTTGTCTTTCCACTTTATATTGGAAATGGTGAATACTATCCCCTTCGCGCTCACCGTAAGTACTCATAGTTTTATTACATATACCTAAAAAGAGAAGACAGACACAGACAGGAGTAAATATTCAATTAATTCTCTTTTTTTAGCTTCTGTTCCCACCGCTCCGCAATCTTTTCATTCCGGTTTTCCTGAACTGCTGGCTAGCCAAGAGATCCCTGGAGAATATGTTTGTAAGTGGATATTGTTATTACATTGTATACCCAACTAAATTGATTAGTAGTGCTAAATAGGTAACTACATATTTTATTTTAGAAACTATTGGCTTGTTTTTACGTAGATATGGTCTGTGATGTTTCCAGAATGATCTACACCGCGCGATGCAGAAATCTCAATCGGCGCTTTCCCAACAGTTGATGATATTGTGTGTGACGCTGCTTTGCCTCGTCTTCACTAGGTGAGTCGCTTTGTTTACTGATAATTAGGACTTCTACTCTATCCAGATGGTATACGACCACATGATGGTATTATCATAGAAGAGTATTGTTATTTATTTCTTTCGTATACATTTTCTAGCATTTCACTTGTTACGTTTTTTACTTTAGAAAATGAGCAAGCTAATGTAATTTCCAGTAGCGATATGGTAATGTGTAGTAAATTTATTTTTCAAACTCCACTTCACATAATTTCCCTCGCCTTTTACTTTCAGGCTCTTGACATTGTTTTTCGCTCTTATCAAATTACGGTATAATTCCGGCATCTAAAATCTTATTATATCTTCAAAAAGTCAGAGAGTAAGGGATTACAACGTGGCTTACACTTTATAAGACGTTTCTTTTTTCCCTAAGTTTCGTATTTTTTTTTCTGCTTACTCTTTTTTAATAGCAAAATCTTATGAATACGCTTAATATTTTCCAGCGTTTGCGGCATCCAACATTTCCAAAGAGCTGGTCATCGTCATCTCAACTTATTCCAAGCGACATACTTCGTCGTGGTGACCTTTTCTACGGTTGGTTACGGAGATTTTGTGCCCGACATTTGGCCATCCCAGCTATACATGGTCATTATGATTGGTGTGGCACTTGTCGTCTTACCAACCCAGGTAAATAACTATCTCTTTTTTAACAACTATCTCATTACTTACATCATGTATACTGACATACAAACTTTATGGTAGTTCGCAAATTACAAACGCGAAGAAAATTAAGTATCTGACGAGGTACACCCCTTCGTGGGTACACTCAGTAGGAGTTTAACACGAGCTGCTATAATGTTTGAATCTTATCATATATTACTTAGAGCATAGCTTATATAATTAAAGTCACTTATCTTTAGGGTTTGTATCAATTTAGTTTAAAAAACAAAGCCCTAGAAAATTTGTTTAAAGATGTTACCTGTATAGTCGTAGTTACTAGCTTTCATTAAAAGTAAAAAAAAAAACAATTTCGGCCACGCCTCCGTCTGCGTGAAATTAAAAATCAAAAGTAAGTAGCCTATGTATTCTTCCAAACTATCCTATACATATATGCCAAATTTCTCCGAGATCAGTTTAGCATTTTAGGCTACAAACTCTAACAAATATCCATTCAACTTTTCATCCATTTAAATTTAAGCTGTTATAATATTAGCATGATTTTAAAGTTTTCGTGTGTTGGAAATTGTTATTGCAACATTTTTCTTCGAAATGCTAGACAGCTATGCTTGCATGTATATACATATGCATTATTTAATAATAATATTATTGGAGTTTAACTACATAAGAGATAATTTAGAATGCATGAATAATGCATGGATGAATTAAAAAAAAAACCTTTAACAAATCATATTATAAATCGATTCAAATGTTACATGACTGCCTGACAATACGCGCGAAATTTTAACAAGCCGTATTATTTTAATGATAAAAATAACAAATTAGGTAAACAGTTGTCTGCCTTTTATAAAACTGTGAATGTGTGGCTGAAAATATTTGCTAGAAAACATGTTAACTAGCAAGGCCCTAGGCTGAGTAGGATCGTTCATTAATCACGTGAAGTTTGAGAAGCTCCCTTCATGGAGTGGGCTTCTGGTGTGATGGGTTTAAGACTCACTCTACACCTAAAATCTAGTGCTGGTGAACCGCTCCATCCCCCTTTGAGCCTCACGTGATTAATGAACGATTAAAATAGAAGGCTGATATTAAATTTATAAAGTGTGTCAGGCTCGTGCTAAATGGATTTCTATATGGTCTTCTTACCCCTTTGGGTCGGTCCGATCTGGGGTGAGTGCTTTTATTATACGGCTTTGCTTGTGACGTTTATTTGCTTGTAGATATGTATAGAAATGTAAATCATCTAAAGCTACTTAAATGTCACATTTTGATAACTCTTGAGTAGGTGATGTATTTTTATAGTATAGTGTTATGATGTTATTAGTTGCAATTACGACCGTACTCAGAGATCTTAAGTGGTAACTAAAAGTAATTTTGTGCATATTTCTGATATTAAATCTACACTAAGGAAGACCATTTGACAACTCTGTGCGGTTGGGATAGTTTATCTTTTACTCAGTGTGACGTATGAATGTTTATTATTTTTTCAGTTTGAGCAATTGGCATTCACTTGGATGGAGCGACAGAAACTTGGTGGTTCGTATTCTTCGCACCGCGCTCAGTCTGAGAAGCACGTTGTCGTCTGCTCAACCACCCTGCATGCGGATACAATAATGGACTTCCTCAACGAGTTCTACGCGCATCCCCTGCTCCAAGACTACTATGTAGTGCTTCTCTCGCCAATGGAACTCGACACTACTATGCGCATGATTCTACAAGTACGTCTACATTGAAAGTTTAATCTGCATTTATCAATATTTGGCAAACGGTAACTTATTTCAGTATAGGTTAATAAGCTTATTCTTAGTTTACGAGATTTCTAGTTTTTTTTTTTATTTTAAGTGACCCGGATTAAATGCTCTTCAGTGCAACTTGATAATTGCGCCTTTTGACAGATCGTATTAAAATACCTATGTTTATTTTGTTTAATTTCAGGTGCCGATCTGGGCTCAGCGTGTGATCTACATCCAGGGTTCGTGTCTGAAGGATACCGACCTGATTCGCGCCCGCATGAATGAGGCTGAGGCGTGCTTTGTGCTCGCGGCCCGCAACTACGCCGACAAGACCGCGGCAGATGAACATACCATACTGAGGTAACAAACATGTTCAAGAATCAAATCAACATGTCAGTACAACTATCATTGATTCTTGATTCAAGGTTGAGACTTAATATAACATTTAGCATCCACATCTGGAACTATCTGACTTCGCTCCGACTGCGTCTACTCATACATCTGCGTCTGCGTATTTTTCATTGGTCAAGAATTAACGCGCGCATATATGATAGTAACGTATAACTATGATCCCTCTAAGATGACAACACTAAGATGGTATACACCCATTAATCGTTTTGTTTTAGATCTTGGGCGGTGAAGGACTTCGCGCCGGACGTGCCCCAATATGTCCAGATCTTCCGTCCGGAGAACAAGCTGCACGTGAAATTCGCGGAGTTCGTGGTTTGCGAGGATGAGTTTAAGTACGCGCTGCTCGCCAACAACTGCACCTGTCCCGGTGCCTCCACGCTCGTGACGCTGCTGCTGCACACCAGCCGCGGACAGTACGTAAACTGCGTGCGCGCAATACAAAGTCTCACTTTCTTCCGACAAGTGTCTATTGGAGAATGGCTTCTTCCATCCACTTTATTGACCTACAACGATCTAATGTTTCAGGGAAGGACAACAATCCCAAGAGGAATGGCACAGACTGTACGGGAAGTGCTCTGGCAACGAAATTTACCATATCGTGCTCGGAGACAGTCGCTTTTTCGGCGAATACGAGGGCAAGAGCTTCACTTACGCCAGCTTTCATTCCCATAGGAAGTGAGTACTGCTTTAAGTATATGTTTCTCTTGTGTTTAAAATATTATCAATGCAATTTTATTTAAGGTATGGAGTAGCTTTGGTTGGAGTGCGTCCGGCGGAGTTGCCGGAGTTCTACGAAGACACCATTCTGCTGAACCCAGGGCCGCGGCACATCATGAAGAGTAGCGACACTTGCTATTACATGAGCATCACCAAAGAGGAGAACTCCGCTTTCGTGGTATCTGAGAAGCGCGAGAGCAAGGCTATAATGACCAAGGACAAGAGTGCGCTGTGCAACGAGAGGAAAGCGGGCGGCGCCGGCGGGACCAGCGGCGGTGGCAGCGGCGCCGGTGGGCGGACGGGACGAGACGGTAGTAGCGCTGCGCCGTACGAGCTGCCCCAAGTTGTGCTCGAGGGCCCCGCAAGCTCCACGCCACTACCATCGCCATCCCGCATCAACCCAGCTCACACTGTTTCATCCGCTAATTTAGCCGCTAGCTGTGAGTGCCACAGTTATATTGATGCTTCATTTTACATGTTAGTCGTCACTTTTATCTAGTACGTCCAACAAAAAGCGATACAAGATCGTGAGTAGGTAAATGTCATTGCAGCTTTTCATAAATAGAACGGCAAACTATTGTTACAACGTTACCCTTGCGTGTATGCGCACGGAAATCATTTTTATTGCAATTTACTGATTAGTTTTTTGATCAGTTATCAATATTGGTTTTGATATATTTTTATCTTTCAATATCATTAGTACCGGCAAAAAACAATTCTCTATTTTTCTGGTAATTAAAAAATTAAGAAACCGAAAAGAAAAATCACAAGATAGAAAAAGATACAAGATTGTCAATACACCGTTACTTTTCGTATCTCTGCTAATTGGGCGTATTTAAGTCACCTCGTAGGTTTGCTTTTCCTCCGTTATGCTAAATGCGTGATCAGCACAAAGCGGTGTACCCTCCAGTGTCACCACGTGGAGTTACTATCAGAAACCAAAAGCGTCACATTCAAGTGTATAAAAAAGTTATAAAACAACGCTAAATCGCACCAGAGCTTTTTCTATTTTACGAGTGATTTTTTTTCTTGTTAAAAATATTATGTTCAGGAAAATCTATTACATACTCAGTAGTCTATGGGTAGCTTTCTATTCAATCATACACTTTAGGTAAATTAGTTATGTTATAAAGACAGAGTGCATCTCAAAACATTGTATGTATATTTATCTAAATATTATTTCAAATTTTATTCAAAGTGCTTTGGAGGACGAAAACCCGGTGCGCCGTCCCTACGGGAGTAGGATAAGGCAGGGGAGATGATGATGACATTTCAAATTTTAAACATTCTTGCAAAGTTTTATATAAGACGATTAACTAATGCATTTTCAATAAATAAGTTTTTAGTGCAGTGCATCGACCATCGTCGTGAACGGGAGCAGTGAGTGCTTTCTATCCGCGCAATATCAGATTTTTATCATAAATTTTATAACGCACATAACATTGGATCGCTAATATTACCATCAAGTAAAGAGTTATCTATTGCATGCTATAGTTAAATTTTATTAAACAATTACCAGTAGTTCGCGTACCTAACATTGAAATCAAAAATATCACTCGGCGCAACGTCTGTTTGCGGCGTCTACCCACTGTTCTTTCTTGACTTTGCGCCTCGTGTTTTGTCACTCGCTAACTCACTGTACCATACATACTGTATTCGTAACCTTTATATATTTTATTAACATTGATGTAACAACATAAATTAAATATTCGAGTTGCTCTTGTGATGGTATTTGAACGTCAGAACCCTTTGAACGCTAGCAAAAAATGTAATTCCTAAAATTTTGATCTTTAATCGCAACTATAAGAAAACTATTGTAAGATTGACTAGCCAGACAATCTTAAGCTTCGATTTAATTATCAGCTTGATATTTTTCCTTTGCATTAATATTTTATTTGTATTTTTCCAGACAAGTATGGCGAGGGCTCGTCGACGGGAGAGTCCCGCAACCACCTGAAGGAGTCTCCGGCGACTGACAGCGCGAGCGACAG